ACCTACCTACCTACCTACCTACCTACCTACCTACCTACCTACCTACCTACCTATCTCAAGGTTGATCTGAAGGGTCCTTGATGCTCTCTGAACCTGATTGTTTGCTTGCAGATGTTTCATTATCAGATTAGGTAACATTTTCTGTTAGAAGAGACAGAGGTTTGATCAATATTCCATGGTTGACAACTTGAATTGTGAAAGAGTAGGAAATTATTTTCCAGGTATCTAAGATTTAAATAAGTGTTGCCTGCTTAGAATTGTGGGTAAGCTGAAATATAATTTCTACCTCTGTGGGAGAAGAGAAAGCAAATCAGACCTGAAAAATACCCTTTGGCTTTCAACTGGCACATTATAGAAAAATGAAAAGGTGTTTATTAGGAAATGATCTCATTGTCTAAGTTGAGTCTTGTCCTCAAGCCTTAGAATCCCCAAGTTGATCTTGCAGTTGCTATGCCAGTTCTGGGACTTCTTTCTCTCTGCATGTTTTTTTTAATGTTTCTTATACATTGGCTGATACTTGTGCATCTTAAGCCTAAAACATACAGGGAGAATTTACTGGTAGCTAGGAAACAGCAAATCTGGGAGGGACTTCTGTAATGTGCTTGTGAGCTTAACTCCTGATCCAGCAAGCATTTTTTTTGTCTACTAACATGTATGTGGCCTTCTGTTTTGTGGATATTCCCATTAACAATCTCTAAGAAGTACTAGACTGTGCTGGTCAGGTGTAAAGTGGCCATGTGGGGGCAATGGTTGAGGAAGGACATTTCTGTAGACTTTTGTCAAGTCAAGGAATTGAACAGGTATTAAATAATATATAGTATTTAAAGAGATTTATGGTTTTTTCTTTAAGGTGGTGGCATCAATGTTTCAATTAACACTTCTGACGTTCCTTCAATAATAACTACCTCATCACTTATGCAGCAGATATTAGCAGGTATTTTTTAAAATTTTTACAGTGCTTTATTAATTAAAATGATGAAACATTTATGGAAGATAGTCCTTTATAAGGTCATAATAATTATAATTTTAGTGCAGATAAAAATGTTTTGACACCGATTAAATTATCTTCTATGCCCCCTTTTAAAAAGAAAAATAAATAACCAGTAATTTGGCAGTTTAGGTGACCATATATTTATATTTATTTTTATACATGTTTATAGCTTTTAAAATAACAAAAAGAACAAAAGGAACAAAACACAAAAATACATTATTAAAAATACATGACAAGAGTTTTAAAAAGATGAAAAAGATACAACAGGAAAAAATGAAAATACCATAATAAAAAGTATAATATGTTGCTATAATAAATAGAATAACAGGTGAGGAAGGAGGCCATTCTTTCATCTTTAAGTCTTTTACTGGCTAGCCACGCCAGTGGAGTACTTCAATTCATTTGATAGAGCGTTGTCCTGCTTAAAAATCATGGTCTTCTTGAAAGATGCAGACTTTTTCCTGTACCACTGCTTGTATTTTGTATTTATTTATTTGTATTTATTGGACATTTATAGGCCGCCCTTTTCCCTGAGGGGACTCAGGGCGGCTTACAATCAAAAAGGAAAGGGAGTGTAGGACAGTAC